GAAAAGTGACTTTTTTTGGTCTCCTTCCCAACTGTATTAGTGTCTTCACACCGTGGCAATGACACGAACCATGTGATTCGCAAAAGCGATATTGGTTACATGTTAAGTGGCCACCCAGCACCTGCGAACTCGGCAATAAACGATTGAGTTTTGACGCTGACCAGTGCCTGTGGAACGTTTTCTGCCTTTAGGACTTCTTATGTGTTCCAGAAGCTGACTTAACTGTTGAAAAACTCATGCCAGCGGCCTCCATTATAAAACAAAAACAGTTGATCCTGGAGGGGAAAAACCTTGTTGATTTTGAGTGAAGGTGCAGTGCAATCCTTTGGTTGCACACTTGTGCGATTCCTAATGCTCTATACAACAGGGGTAACAATGCGGAACATGAGCTTTTACCACAACTCCCCAGTACAGGGAAGATAATTCTGGAACAAAACAGAGTAAGTGAGCGTGTATGTAAGCAACATTTAAGGAAAGTGCTCTGTGTCATTACCTCTCCAATGTCTAGCGACATACATGCTGTGGTAACAGTCTCTATTATGGTTATCAATATTTTAATACTTGTGTGCTACGCTCTATTCTTATGCTGTTTGAAAAAGATTCAACAAAGTAAGTGCTCTCTTTGTCGTTTTCAATAAACCCAAATGCGAAATACAGACATAATATCCGTAAAAATAAGAAGTCTGTCCGCCTGCGTTGTGACTGCTGGCTCTTTTCGTGAGAAACCCTCTCCTTCTTCCTCTCTCTAAAGAAGCGCAAAGGTTACATCCAAGACAGCGAAGCAACGAGAACATCATAGAAGATTTCCTTCAGACATTCCTCAGGTCCTCAGGCTTATATGCCTAGCTCTCCGCCACTATCCATCAAATGCGAATGCAAAAGAAAAACAGATTAGCGTTAGGATCAACTGCAACAGACTGTGAATAGATGCTATTGCATCGATACCATTTTGTCATCTCAAAATGTCTCCATAAACAGAACATAACCGCTTGCATTTTGGGATGACAGAGATGGTTTTCGCACTTGATAAGGAGTAGTTTGAGTACAATAGAGACGAGTCTTGAGATACGAGAGCATTGTTCAAAAGTTCAAAGAAAGATGTAAGCTGAGCACTCGCTTGAAAGTCCTCAAGACGCATTTTCCGGTTGTGGTTAACAAAACACATCTGTTCCATTGTAGGTACCGATAAAATGAAGAACATATATAGGTCTCTAATTGTGGTCAGCCTTACATCAATTTTTGGCTGGTTCAGTACAACTCTGATAGGCTTTCTTGCCCGAGTTTTCAATTTAAACATATCCAGAGCAGACACGGATTTGATAGCAGGAATTTTTGTGAACACAGCATGCGCCGTCAACTTTTTTGCTTATTATGGTGTCAGGTGAGTTATCATTGCAACCAGTCAATGTAAAGAAAAAGAACAGATGCGTAGTTTGTAAAACTCCACTATATATTACCGCTTTTGGTCTTAAATAGAAGATCGAAGTGGGCCAATGAAACAAAAGTGTCTTCGTTAGGTACAGTAAGTGTGTTGCGGTGGATCAAATACAGATAGAATAATAAGCAGCTCCATTGACAGCCGATCAGGTAGTGAACTGCAGCCGGTAGGACCTGTGAGTCGTTGCTTGAGCTCCGCCGCCGTCTTCGTCCAGCCGTCCACCAGTCGCTCCTCCGTCGCTTCTGCTCGTCGTCCCTCGGCTCGCCTCGCGCTCGCTGAAACCAAAACTCACTCGCGGTCATCGCGGTCATAGTTACAGTGTTCCCACGTTAGCTTAAGCCCCTTGGACTTACAGTACTCGTCCTAGAGTGCAACTCCGTATGGTGTTCCCATTGTTTTCACGCCAATTACGTCAGCGTTTGAAAGGGGTTCAGAGATCTGTGCTCTTCGCCCTATCATACACGTATCCGATGCCGTAGGATCCAGACAGGATCCATGATCTGACCGCCGATGGATGGAGTATCTCGCAGTTTTGGCAGAGAACTAGACTTAGGATCCGATTCTCGCAAAAAGCGTTGGAGCTATACTATTTCCCTGGGTTTTATTTTGACGTTGAAGCCGGCTAACTTGAGGATAACTGATTGCTTGAGGTAGTTTATCCAAATGGGGCTTCTGCATGGTTTAACCCCTTTGTCGTCTGAGAGGGAGAACAGTTAATCAAAGGCAGTTGGCAGGATAAACTTATATACTCGGCCTCAAAGCTAGCAGACGCCTATGTAGTGGGAAAATGGCTAAAAAGAGCGAGGAAACTTTCAAAAATCGCGAGAGAAAGTTCTGTCTTGAAGACTTATCCATGCAGCAACCAGGTCATATCGTCTCGCTTTCATGTGTACTACGACAAATGAAACAACACGAGCATCAGGTACGATCGTCCATTTGTAGGCTTTGTGGGCGGGCGGGCATGGTGGGCGTTCGGGTCGGTATGTTGTTGCTTGATAGGGGTCTTATAAGGGTACCTTCCTCGGAAAAAGCGCTACGCGGCGCCTGCACAGGGTTGCGTAGCGCTCGCTACTCGTCCTTAGGGACTTATCGTGCCAACTGCCTTTAAGTAGCACGTGCATGTGGTTTGGAACGGACGGCTACAGTGTGCCCTGGGGTAGTTTGAGCGCTGCATGAAAAGGCTTGCGGATTCCTCTGTAGAAGGGCTGTCAGGGCTCATGTAGATGGCTCTTGTTGCTGAATGAAGTATGCACTGGCAGTGGTTGCAAGGAGAACTCTTACTTCGTGGATCCTATACCACCATTAAATTGACGCTATTCAAGGAACATTTTCGCTTTTGAAAGGTATTAACAAGTGTCAGTGATCCGCTGATCCTTGACAAATAAAAATCAGTTCAGATACAAAATAGCTGCATTGCTTCGAACCCTTGACAACCCTCATCATGATTACTTGAAGTTCAGTACTTACTTAAAGCAGTTACTTAAATTCCTGTACAACTACATCCAAAATTCAGAACTAAAGCCATGAGTAGTGCTACACGGACCATGAGTGTTGAGTACCCATGAAATTTCAGCAGAGAATATCGTAGCGCCTTTCAAAAGCATGTATTCTGTGGCTTCTGCGGAGAAGATGCACATATGTCACCTGTCACACAGATATCTACGAAACGCACTATTGTACAATCTTCGCGAACAAAGGAATTAATAACAATTGTTTAGTCGCTTTATTAACAAGTTGATGTGACTGAATGCCAATAAATTTTTTTGTGCCCGAGCCATTTGCATCCATATCTAAACAGCTCTGTATGATGTTTCGTCGGAAGAAGGTGTAGTGATGCTCCCATGAGGAATCGAATAATAACGCTTGCATTCCTCTACAAATTAGATAGAGCGACTAATAATGAAGCCTTAATAGCTGCAGTAGGTTGATTTGATGTTGGTACTTCCGCCTAATATAATGCGTACGCAGAATAGAAAAAGCTTGTTATGTGTGCATTTTTCACTGTTGGTTCATACATAATATAGGTTGGAAGGAAAGTCTTGTCACTGTTGTGACTTTTTTCTTTTTTATTTTCTAACTCAACATACAGTGGGAATTAGTCAACAATATACTCGTCATAGTTAGCCACTACAGTGCTCCACCTAATGGACAGGTAAGCATTCCCCTCCTCCCAGAACTGAGGAATGCTGCGAGTAGAGTAAGTCAGCGCCCTCTCGACTGATGTCATCAAAATTGCTGAAAGTTTTCTTAGCTAAAGAAAGCCTTAAGGAGGCGGAGCAGGTAGCAGTCGTAGGGGACTACGTCAGGAGAATATTATGAGCGGGGACTGGTCTTCCAGCCTTGCTCCTCAATTATTTGGTAGGTCTTCATAGCAGGTATGGGGTCTCGTGTACTACGAACGAGGTGACCCGAAGCTAGTCTCGGTCATTTTTCTCCAACAATTTTCACTCGTTTCGGGAGCTGAGCGACACAAATGGTGGTGACCGTCTGTTCTTATGGGGCAGCTCGTTCTGCAGCACCTCCTCGCGTCCCAGGAGCAGCACAGGAGAACCTTTTCGGAATACATGCCCGGTTTGGACTGCTAGAATGGATCTTCTCCTTGAGAGAGACAAACGGTACTGTGTGGGTTGAAATCATAGAGGACCCATCTCTCATCCCCACTAAGCAGTCTCCCGGAAACTCCTTCTGACGAGGGCAGAGAAGGGGAGGGTTCAGCAAGGGGTACCCGGGCGTGCCATCGGTCAAGGTATGAATGATCCATCAAGCCAGTACTTCTTGGTAGTCAAAGGCTTACAGGCGGTGGACGACTGTCAGTTAGGTACATCCGAGTCTTGTCGCAAGACTGCGGGTGGCAACCTCTGGTATACTTCCTGGGGCAGTTCCAACCAAGGTTTGTCTTCAAGGATCGAGTCTCTTTTCGCGAAGCGAGCGAACTAAAAGTGAACGATCCTGACGGTAGTGGTGTCCTCCCTCAATGCACTGTTGATGTTACGGACAGCTGCCGTGGCTGCCGCGGGGCCACTGATAGAAGATGATGACCCGAAGATACTCCTGTGAAACTGACATCGTAATTAAACCCAGGGAAGAGCAGGCGCCCTCACACGCCTCTTGCAGGAAAGCTCCCAGAGTGTCCTACAAGCATAGCATGTTACGTCATGTACGAGCATCGAGAATCAAAAACTGTAAGCTTTTCAAAAAACACTGACAGGACCTTTCCTTCCGCCCTAATTAATATTTTCAATTGTTTACCGTCAATTTCTTTAATGAAGGCAGACAGCTGCGGCTTAAGAGGAGTCTACCCTTCCATTCAAAGAAATGCAAAAGGTTTTTGTCACACGACGATAACAACAGCGATGTGATGTTGCTTTTCTACCTCTCTTCACCTTGATCTCAATTGCTTGCGTTGCGCTACTTTGGCAAAAGCAGTAGCTCTTAGCATTTGTGAGGCACTTAACAGCGAAACAAAATCATTTGCAATCATATGGGTTTGAAATTTGCAGATACTTTACTAGTTGTAACAATAAGTAGAACACTACTCAAAAGCAACGTCATTTCGAAGCACCTACGCTTCAGTGTTTTTCAATGAATATATTTGCTGGTATCGTTCCCTTTCTGAAGGACATCAAACATCAAATTTCGGCGAACAGTTCCACCATCGAAGTGTTTTTGAGCAGCGCATCCTTTGCTATTCGGGCAAAAGAAGGGTGGCACAAGAGTCAGAAGAAAAAGAGAAAACAATTCGATATACACGGATTTCCCACATCAAGCACGCAATCCAGTCTGGAGGGTTTTGGAGAGTTGTCTACTTATTACGTCGAAAAAAGCGATCAGCTTTAAGATGGAGCCCATTTGCTACCTAAAGTGCTCTACCAAAACCGTTATTAACTGCGGTAATTTCGAGATGGGTTCCGATATTGAGGTTGTATTGCAGCTGATTGTGCTCTGATTAGGAAAAAATGATGTATTCCATTGGACACTGATTATTAACAGTCAAGACGCAAAATAGCTGTATGTCGCAGCAGGGTACAGCATCGTGATGTGTGAAATGGTGGTGTCAGTACGACCCCCGAGGGGAGGGTCTCGGTACGTATCCCCCCTAAAAGAAGCTTTTGCTGCGATCCCCCGCCCCTTCCCCAACAATTACCTACCAGTTTCCCACATTTTCCAGTTGCTCACCCAAAAATTTTACGCGTAGCCCCTTTTCCACTTTTCCG